ACCCAAAAAAAAAAAAAAAAAAAAAAAAAAAAATCACCCTCTCCGACTACCTTGTTACAATTGTAAATGATTAAATACTTAATCCAGGGACTCAGTGCTAGTGAAGGATTAACCTAGGAACAGATAAAACAGAGTTTTTGTACAACTTTAGGAATTTGGCTTGTTTGTCTTAAGCACTGTAAATGTTTTGGGAGCCTGGAAAGTCTGAACTGTAGGCCTCTTCCCTCAACGTTTCCTCTGTGGATGTGATGAGATATAAGAATGATATAACATGTATAACACCTGGTACGTGTCTGGCAGTGTGCTTGGAGATTTATTTGCATTCTCTCATTTCATTCTCACAACAAGCCTGTGAGGTCATCCTGTTAGTCAGTGGCATACCTGGTGGTCTCACCTGGGCAGTTTGGCCCTGATTTATGTTCTTGTCCTTCTCCTCCCATCCTTAAACCCTCAATCCCTAACTCTGCCCATGTGTCTCTTAAATGCTGGTTCATGTTCTCATGGGATTCTTCTCTTTCCTTTCTGGCTCTTATCTTAAATATCTGTGTGTGGTTCCAAAAAGATAAGAAGACAAGGAGTCATGAGAGTAGCATTAACCACAAAGATAACATCGTGAGACCTGTTGTACACGATGCTAAGATTCGTACATTCTTTTCACTCTTACAATCATGCTAAGAGGTGAATACTATTATGTCCCCTAAGTTATTTTCCCAGGGAAACTCACATATAATGCCTGATTGATGCAGGGATATACAAGTCGGCCTCCCACTTAACTGGAGCCAACTCTGAGTTCCTCATGAACCTCTGTTTCACTTCCACCGAGCTCAATCTCCCCCTCTGTGTAGTCTTGCTTCCCTCACGTGCCACACAGTCATCCTAAGGCCACTCTCTATAGATTTCCTTGACATGAATTTCCACCTCCAAGTCTATTTTCTCAAAAACTCAATATTCAAAAGCTACCAAGATCCCCAGGGACCTCTCCCATCTCCTTCTCCCTTGCTATCCAATCACCATGCATGCAATGGTTTATATGGGTCATATTTAAAACCTCATATGAAGGAATCAAAGTGGACTCAGTGCTAGTGAAGGATTAACCTAGGAACAGATAAAACAGAGTTTTTGTACAACTTTAGGAATTTGGCTTGTTTGTCTTAAGCACTGTAAATGTTTTGGGAGCCTGGAAAGTCTGAACTGTAGGCCTCTTCCCTCAACGTTTCCTCTGTGGATGTGATGAGATATAAGAATGATATAACATGTATAACACCTGGTACGTGTCTGGCAGTGTGCTTGGAGATTTATTTGCATTCTCTCATTTCATTCTCACAACAAGCCTGTGAGGTCATCCTGTTAGTCAGTGGCATACCTGGTGGTCTCACCTGGGCAGTTTGGCCCTGATTTATGTTCTTGTCCTTCTCCTCCCATCCTTAAACCCTCAATCCCTAACTCTGCCCATGTGTCTCTTAAATGCTGGTTCATGTTCTCATGGGATTCTTCTCTTTCCTTTCTGGCTCTTATCTTAAATATCTGTGTGTGGTTCCAAAAAGATAAGAAGACAAGGAGTCATGAGAGTAGCATTAACCACAAAGATAACATCGTGAGACCTGTTGTACACGATGCTAAGATTCGTACATTCTTTTCACTCTTACAATCATGCTAAGAGGTGAATACTATTATGTCCCCTAAGTTATTTTCCCAGGGAAACTCACATATAATGCCTGATTGATGCAGGGATATACAAGTCGGCCTCCCACTTAACTGGAGCCAACTCTGAGTTCCTCATGAACCTCTGTTTCACTTCCACCGAGCTCAATCTCCCCCTCTGTGTAGTCTTGCTTCCCTCACGTGCCACACAGTCATCCTAAGGCCACTCTCTATAGATTTCCTTGACATGAATTTCCACCTCCAAGTCTATTTTCTCAAAAACTCAATATTCAAAAGCTACCAAGATCCCCAGGGACCTCTCCCATCTCCTTCTCCCTTGCTATCCAATCACCATGCATGCAATGGTTTATATGGGTCATATTTAAAACCTCATATGAAGGAATCAAAGAAAATACTGCTACTCCCATTTCACAGGTATAAGTGGCATGGCTTGGAGAAAAGTGAATTGTGCAAGCTCTCAAACTTAATAACAAGACAAACCAAAGCTTAGTGTGGTAGGCTGGATAACAGTCCCTTAAAGATGTCTATGTCCTTAACCTTGGAACCTGTGAATATGTTAACATAGCAAAAGAGGCTTCGCAGATGTGTTTTAATTAAGGATCTTCAGGTGAGGAGAGAATGTGCACTATTCAGTTGGATCCAGTGTCATCACAGGGGTCCTTAGAAGAGAGAGGAGGAGGGTTGTTCAGTGCAGACGAGAAGATAGAGTTTGATGTAGGGGTGATTTAAATCCATCTGCCAAAGAAGACAGGAAGCCTGCAGAAGCCAGAAAAGTTTTTCCTTTCTAAAAAAATTGTCAAGTCATTTATATGATATGAAAAGAAACCAGTGCATTGGCAAAGGTTTAAAAAACAACAAAAAAAGAAAAACAGTTTTTCCCTTAGAGCCTCCAGAAGGAATGGTTTCTTGCTAACTCATTGTAGGCTTCTGTCTTCCAGAGCTGTGAGGTTATCAGTTTGTGTTGTTTTAAGCCATTGTTGGTGGTCATTTGTTATAGGCACAATAGGAAGCTAACACAGGTCAGTTTTTTTCCACTCTAACTTTTGTATCTATGGATACAACGCTCTTGTCTTTCCACTTTTCTCTTGGAGTAATGGTTAAAGGTGCTCTTCCATTCGGGAGAATTGAAAAGCTTTATAATGGAGTTTCCTCCCTCAAATTTCTCATCTTCTGTGAAGTCATCCAGCCCTTGGATAGCATTTGCTTATCTGTTCTCATCTAAGGCAGAGGAGAGGAAAGAGAACTGAGGAAGAGGAACCCTCAAGTGTTAGTCAGCTTTTGGCTACTACAGCAAATACCTGAAATAAATTAACTTTAAAAAATTGAAAGTTGATTTCGGCTCTTAGTTTTGGAGGTTTCAGTCCATAGGCCATTGACCCTGTTGCTTTGGCCCCTGTGGTGAGGCAACACTTCATGGTGAGGCACACACGGTGGAAGAGAACTGTTCATCTTACAGCAAGGAATGCAAGAAAGAGGGAGAAACCAGCATCCCACAGTTGTCTTTGAAGGCAGGTGCTCAATGACCTCACCCCTCCCTAGTAGAGCCAAGTAAGGACCACAGAATGACACATAGACCTTTGGGAAACACTCCAGATCCCAACCATACCACTAATTGTAATGGCGTCAGTGGAACCTTCCTCTATACCTTTGGAAGCAAGTCTGTCTCTCAGTATGAGCTGACTATTCTCTTGTTAGTTGCTGCATCCCAACCTACTTCCCCGTGGTCAGGACAAAGCATTTTGGGAGGCTACAGCAACTAGAAAGGAACAACAAAGGCAAATGCAGCAGCATCATTCCTCTTCAAGGTCAAAGACTTTCATCACTGCTAAGAGTTAGTTGGAGTTTGGTTTTCTCAGGTTTGAAACAGGGATGGGAAGAGAAGCAATTCAGTCGAATTGGGATGAAAAATATCCTTTACTGAGTACCTGCTTGATGTCTATGTGATCCTTATTTTACCAAGGAGAAAACTTAGGCCCTGGTGCAGGATCTTGAGGTAAAAAGTGACAGAAATGATCAGACCTATGCCTTTCCCACACAAAAGCCCACAAGTGCTCCTTATAGGCTGGCTTTACCAGGAAACTTGGTTTTAAGGGTGATGGAATTGTGACTACCCACCTCCCAGTATCAGGCCCAAAGTCACAAATCGCTGTGCCGTCACTGGCCGTTGAACTGCACTCCCCTACTGCAGACTCACCTTCTGCTCTTGGTGGACCCTCCAGGGCCTTCTGTGCCACCTCCTATACTCCACATGGCTCTCACTCCCGAGAACACCAGCATGGGTCTCTTCTCTATCTCTGTCTCTTAAAGTCTCAGTCTCACTAGCACTTCCAGATTCAAGCATCTCCCTCCAGGTTCTGGAATGAAATTCCAAACCTGTGTGGCTAGTCATCCTGACTTCAGATTCCTAAAACCATATTCTTTTCTCCTCACTTTTAAAATTTTAATATTTATGTATTTTTATTTTTTATTTTATTTTATTTTTTGGTACCGGGGATCGAACTTGGGTCCTTGCACTTGGAGGCAGGTGGTGGAACTACTGAGTTAAATCCCTAGCCCTATTTATTTATTTCCTTATTTAGAGACAGGCTCTTGCTTTGCAATTCAGGCTGGCCTCAAACTCACTATGTAGCTAAGGCTGACCTTGAACTTATGGCAATCCTCCTGCCTCAGCCTCCCAAATGCTGGATTACAGGTGTGTTTCACTTCTCACTTATTTCTTTTAATTGGCTTTTTCTTTTAAAAAAAATTCATACCAGGGATGAACGTAGGACATTGCACTTGCTAGGCAGGTGTGGCACCACTGAGCTACATCCTCAGCCCTCCTCACTTATTTCTGAAACTATAACAACTGTTCTCCCTGCTTTGATTAAGAAATATAGATATGTTAAATTATAATTATAGAGCTGGCAGAGGGTCAGTGAGGAAGGCCCAGTTTTCAGAAGAAGAAACTGAGGCACAAGGTGAGTCTGTGAGGGAATTCACCATGCTGATGTGTTGTTTTAGTATGGTTCATGATTTACGATGGTTTGCTTTAGGGTTGTTTGACTTTCTGGTGGTACAAAAGTGATATGTATTCAGTAGAAATGTACTTTTGTGAACATTAATTGTATGCTATTTGATAAGGACCCATAACACCATCCCAGTTTGCACAGTATTTATGACATTTGAGATGCAAACTTTCACGGGTGTACTGTATAAGACTCAATTTGTCAGACTTGGGAACAAATCCGACTTAAAAACGTTCTCCTGGAATGGAGCTCATTCCTAAGTCAGGGTCTCACTGTACTTTCAGTACCATATTCAGTAAATTCCATGACATAGTCAACACCTTATTATAAAATAGGCTTTGCTTTCGATGCTTTTGCCCAGCAGTAGTCTAATGCAAGGTTTCCAAACATGTTTAAGGTCTGCTAGGCCAGGCTATGATGTTCAGAGGGTTAGTTGTATTAAATATATTTTTGGCTTATGGCATTTCCAGTTTACAGTGGGCTTGGTGAGATATAACCCCATTCTAAGTTGAGGGGTATTGGTATTGATTGGATATTTTTCTTGATTTCTTAATAAAGAGCCTGAGCTCTGGATCTGGACTGCCCAAAGTTCAAAGCTATCTTCTGCTAGCTATATGAACTTGTACAAATGTCTTAACATCTTTGTTCCTCATCTGTAAACTAAGAATAATAGGGTCAACTTCTTTGGATTAAAAGCAGAATGAAGTTATTTTTTAAAAAATATGTGTAGTTGTACATAGTTCAATAAGTATTAGTTGTACATTATCTTTTCATCCAAATGTATCATATATTTGAGTGGAGTAGTTACCAAAACCTTCACAGTGACTTGATAGACTTCCAGATAGGGGTGGGCACTATCTGTGTTAGATTTCCCTTATCTTAAGATGGCTGCTACATAAAAAGAATAACCTTTCCTTTCCCATAATGCCTTGCTTCTTACTTAAAACATATACAGCTTCTCCCACTAGACAGCCTTCTTCTTCCCATCATGCCTCTTTTCCCACCAAGAAAGTGACCTGATACTCACCATGTCCTGGTAACTAGTGATGACACAAGCCACTAGTGATGTTGCAACCCCTCCCAGTAACATCACATGCTCTTCCAAACCCTAGCCACTACCTCACTCAACTCCACTTCAACTTCTGTAAACCCCTCCAGTCCCTGTAAAAGACACTCCCTGTCCAGCCATATTGCTCTCTCTCTCTCCTTTGATCAGAGATAGCCTGGCAGATAGTCTCTACAATAAAAGCTTGTAGTGGTTCTGGTCAGGTCTTGGTTTTCAGCTTTTTTACCTGACAGTCTGGGTAAGAGAAATTCTGAAAATGGAACAGAGTCAGGTGTGGGCTCCTTTCAGCTGCAAGACTTTAGGAAGTTATTTAACTTCTTTGCATGTCAGTGTCTTCATCTCTAAAAGGGAGGAAATGAAAATGTTGACAATTTAGGAGTTGTTGAGAAAATAAAATAAGACAATCTAAGCTAAGGATCTGGCTTACAACAAAGGTTTCACACTGGCTACCTCTTATTAATACTGATATATATATATATACAGCTTTGCATTTATAAACAGATTTGTAATCACCACATTATTTAACCAATTAATATTTATTGCTCAAAATTGCCCTGGGAAGTTATCTGTGGTTCTCCATATTTTTGATGTCTTTGAAACTCAAGGTCACACAGGGAGTTGATGGTAGAATTAAAAAAGGAATTTGTAGTTACCAGGTTCTGTGGCTTAATATATATATACAGCTTTGCATTTATAAACAGATTTGTAATCACCACATTATTTAACCAATTAATATTTATTGCTCAAAATTGCCCTGGGAAGTTATCTGTGGTTCTCCATATTTTTGATGTCTTTGAAACTCAAGGTCACACAGGGAGTTGATGGTAGAATTAAAAAAGGAATTTGTAGTTACCAGGTTCTGTGGCTTAATTCCCTGAGACTTGCTCCTTTTCTGTCTATACCTGATCATTTATTTTCATCAAAAACAAACCGTGCTTGTTCGGTTGGGTATCGGTGGGTGATGTGACTGCACATGTCCCTTGAGGAGCCCTAGTCCAGAAGCTCCCCTCCACCAGCTGTCTCTTTACTGAAAGAAAATTTGGTTGAAATGGAAACTGAGCCCACAAGGTGGATGGAGCATGCTGATCTGGACCTTTAGGGTGAGAAGAGGATCTGGGGAAAATCCAGGAAGTTAGGATGATGAATATAGGATTCTGAAAACCCTAAAGAGGGCAGAAGATAGTAGCTCCTGGGGAAAGAGGTCTAAAGGGGGGAAATGACTTTAAAAACAGGCCATGACTATCTGGAGAAATATAGTGTTAGCCAAAACAAAATACAAACAAAAAAAAATTGTGTGTCCCAACTCTTTTGTCCTTGTGTTCACAGCCTGTACTTTCCCAAGCACAGTCACTAGGCAGAGGCACCAGCCAAATACATGCAAGTGTCTGAAGTCTGGAGAAGGAAAATCAAAAGATTCTATAGCCCACCACAGAAATGTGCACAGTGCCCACCTTACCTGCAGGTCCCTGCGACTCCAGAGAGCTGCCTAGCATCTCTGCCCCTGCATTGATGTGGCCTCATTAGAGCTGACAGGTCACTGCACAGGTAACGTGTCTGATAAGAATTAGTTTGGAGTCCCTTTATATCCTGAAATTCCTGTGTACTTTTTCCAGACAGATGAGCCCATTTCCCGCACTAATGAATGACCATAGGCAAACAGGCTAGCACTTCCTTGAATGTAATAACTCTGAACCAGAAAAAAGCAAAACAAAAGGTTGGGTTTAAATCAAATTGTGTGAGAGTGTGCATATATACACTTGTATGTACAAACTGGATCTCCTTAAATGTAACAGGGGTTCATGCTTGCTGAAAGATTCCCTCCTGGGGTAAGTGAGTTAGGCTCTCAGGTTTTGTTGCTGTTGTTGCTGTAGTTTTATTTTTGAAAGAATGAACTTTTGCCTCTTGTTTCTTGAAGTGAAGCATAAATTTCACCTGCAAGTGCTCAGTTAAAAAAAAAAACAGTGAGTAATTGTTGCAAAACAATATCAATTGGTAATTGACCTCATTTCTTGGCCTGCGACCTAAAAACAAGTCCCTCCTGGAAAAGGCCTAAAGGGACTTTCTTATAAAACAGGTTTATTTACATAACACAAGGAGCAGAGTTTCAGGAAACTCCTCCAAGGGCACCTTTTCACTGCAGCTGGAACCAGGAGTTTGGAAGGAAGTACAAGGAGCCTGGTGACTTGGTAGAGAAATTGCAATAAATCTGACTACACAACAGCCCTTCTCTCTGACTACGGAGCTCTATTGCCAACTTGGCCTCATTCCTCTACCCACATGTTTTAAATTGCTCTGTACCAGCTGAACAGAATTCAAGTTCCATACATAGAATCTTGCCCCTTTTTAACCACTTTGTTCCAGAGGTACCACTTTGTGCTTCCTAGAAGTGGGTGCCTCCTCCTGTGATGACTTAGGAAAATGTGCCCATTGTCCAAGGACTCAACCCACTCAACCCAACTCAAGGGCAGCCCTACCAGAGGAGAGCTTGCTCGGTTAGGCTAGGGGGACCCTGAACCTCAACCACTAGACATTTCTCTCAGGCTGAACACAGCAGCAGGTATTCTAAATGTCAAGGCCTCTTCTTTGGAATACCCAGTGTTCCCATTTGAAATTTGAGAGGAATCAGCAAAGAGCATCCTGGCATGTCTTAATAGTTGCCAAGGGATGAGGGGTGATTAGACAGATACTGGTACCCAGCTGGTTCCCAGCTCCTCCGAGGTCAGAGCTAGAAACTGTTCTGCATCGGTAGGAAGCGGGTGAGGCGAGTGGGAAATTTAGACACAAGAATATAAAGTGCTTAGGAACTAGAAACTTTCACAGAGGAAGATGCTTGGTATATACCGGCTCAGTAAATGTTCCAGAGTGGATGGATGGGTGGATGGAAGGACGCATGGATGGAATTTTCTGTCTTAGATATATTATGTAGTTTCCCTTCCAAATCCCTTTCATAGCTGAAGGATGGAAAATACATGACCTTGGTGAACAGTTATGCCCATTCACTCTTGAAATCCCTAAGGTGTTACGATCCTGCAAATACTTTACTGAGGGTGGCCCTGTGCCAGACACCAAGAATTCCCTTGAGGGGCTTTAGTGGAAGAGAAAGATACTTCAACATGGAGTCCTACTGACTAAGGAGGCATTTATGAGGGGATGCCACATTGAATTGAATGTGGAATATGAAATTTGGCTTTCAAATTCAACCTGTAGATTGAATTCATGTATTTATTGACATTTCTCTTTACTCCTTCAGTCATCAAAGATTTACTGAGCCTTTAGTGTATTCCAGGCACATTCTAAATTCTAGAGATATAATAGCACACATAGCAGAGAAGCTCCTTGCCTTTGCAGGAAAGAAAGAGGACAGAAAATAAATATGTAATGTGTCAGGTGGTGATATATATTAAGAGGAGAAATAAAGCAAGGTAAGTGGTAATAGAGTTAAAATAGAGTATTGATTTATACAGGCCAATCAAGACAGGCACTCTAATAAGGTGACTTTTGAGCAGTTAAGATATTTGAGAAGAAAAGAGCAAGCCGAGCTGTTGTATGAGAGCAAAGCATGCTAGGGGCGGAAATAACAAGTGCAAAGGCCCTGAGGCTAGAATGAATTTGCAGTGTTCCAGGTATACCAGGAAGCCATCACTACAGGATCAAAGTGAAGACGGAAAAAGTCAAAGGAGATGAAGGAGATGAGGTCAAAATATAGCAGAGCCAGACCTTGATGTACTTTTTTTTTTAATGAGTGACACAGGAAAGCATTGAGGAGATGTGAGCAGAGAAATGGCACATACAATCGTGTATTATAAGGACCACTCTTGCTGCTGGGTGGAGAATTAACTGTTGGCGGGGGTGGGAGGTGGGGTGGGGTGGCAGGGGGAACCCAGACAGGAAGTAGCTGCAGTAACGTAGGTGAGACACGACACGGTCTGGACTTGGGATGGTGGGAGTGGAGGTGGTGAAAGGTGTCGGATTTGGGCTATCTTTTGTTAATAGAATGGATGGATTTTCTGTGATTGGATATCAGGTATGAAAAGAGTGGGGAGAGGGAGGGAAGGGAGAGCGAGAGAGGAACAGAGAGAGACAGACAGACAGACAGACACACACACACACACACACACAGATGGAGAGACGCAGAGAGATGCAGAGACAAAGTTTAGGCCTAACCAACTGGAAGAATGAAGGTGCCACTTACTGAGGGGGAATCTTGCTCTCCGGAGGACGGAAGCAGGGGCCCTGCTTTGGACAAGTTAAGTATGTGGTGCTGATGAGACATCCAAGTGCAAATGTCAAGTCAGCGCAGAGGATGCCCGCGCTGTCTGCAGTTCAGGTGAGGAGCAGCCTGACTAACACTGAGAATTACAAGCACAAGGTCAATGAGTAAAGCCCCACGGGTACCTAGGGTGCGAGAGTGGATGGCAAAGAGAAGAGGCCCAAGCCTGAGAAGTTGGGGGCAGTGCAGCACTTGGTGATTTGCAAGAGCGCAATTCTCCTGGCTCTAAAAAGCAAAATTGTAACAGTGGAATTCTTGCCAAAGCAGTGAACATTATTGTATGTGATCACAATAACTGCTAAATAGTAATTTAAACAAATATTCCATGCTATTATACCAAGAGAAAAGAAAAAAAAAAGCATGGTGAGTGTGGAGGTATGAAGTGACATGTGATCATCTTACAAATTAAGAATATAATAATATCTAAAGATATAAATAACAACATAGAGAAACACAGAAATAAAACCAGGGGAAAGAGCTAAGAAAGTAGAAAATATCTTCCTTTGGGGAGTGGGGATAAAGACCAGAAAAGAATGCAGCATGGAACTACTTATCATTAAACCTTTATACTTCAGCAGATGAATAACAAGTAAAAGGTGGCATATCCATGCAATGGACTATTATTTAGCTATAAAAAAGAATAAGGTGTTGATATCTGTGATCACGAGTATGTTCACAGGCATGAACATTATGCTAAGTGAAAGAAGCCAGGCACAAAAGATCATGTTTTGAATGACTTTGTTTACATGAACTATTCAGAAAAGGCAAAACCACAGAGACAAAATAGACTAGTAGCTGTAAGAGGTTGGGGAAAGGAGGAATGGAGGATCCAGGGTATCTTTTTTGGATGATGATAAAATTCTGGAATTTGAAGCCAGGTGTGGTGGCGCACGCCTGCAATCCCAGCACTCAGGAGGCTGAGCTGTGAGGATCACTGGGAGTTCGAGGACTGGGCTACATAGCGAGTCTGAGGCCAGCCTGAACTTCATGGCAAGACTCCATCTCAAAAAAACAAAACAAAACAAGAAATCTGGTATTTGGAATGATGGCGATGGCTGTGTAACCTTGTGAGTGTATAAAAAACTACTGTGTTGTATGTTTTGAGAAGGTGAATATTATTGTATGAGATAATATCTCAATTTGAGAGATGTATCCCTGATACTTGCTACCTCCTAGCAGCTAGTGTTGTCACAAGCCCCTCCTATTGATGTATTACAGACTCCTCCAATCCTTTAATACTACCTAACTCAACTCCACCCCAGCTCAGGTTAACCCCACCCCGCTCCTATAAAAGAAGCTCCCTGTGCTGCCAAGTTGCTTTTTTCTCCTTCACTCAGAGACAGCCCCGCAGATCCTCCCCATAGTAAAGGCTTGTGATGGTCCTGGTCTGGTCCTGGTTTTTGGATCTTTTTACCTAACATATGTCATTTGAAGTGTTAAATTATATGAAAGTGTTACCTCAATAAAAATAAAAATTAATTAAAATTGTATTAAAAGCAAAACCCAAAGCATTTTTGAAGTGGATAAAAGCTCCATGCATTCAGGTTAAACCCATTTAACTTACATCTGCTAGGATTCACAGGATGCATCTCCTTGCTCATGCCAAGCTCCTCTGTCCCACTGGACTTTTAAAAACGTGAATTCAGTGCTAAAATTATTCACGAGTTTGAGATTGCCATGGGAGAGCATTAAACCAGACCCAAGGCCCTTCTGAGCAAAGTGTCCCAAGCCAGCCCTGCTTGGGGAACCTAATTATCATCCACAGCCAAGCCTCAGGTGTGTGTGAGTGTGTGTGTGTGTGTGTGTGTGTGTGTGTGTGTGTGCAACAGAAAGATTCTAGTTGGTGAATATGTAACAAACCTTCACCTCCTCTTCCTTTCTTTTCTAGGTCTTCTATCCATCTCTTGGTTCGTTTCCCTCTTTTATCTACTGTTTCTAAAAGGAATGTTTATTTTAAACCAATCATCACTGTCTTCTAGTAAACTATATTCATTTTTGCCTTCCCACTATTTTCTTATAAAGTTTTTGTCTAGTGTCATTTGGGCCGCTATCACAAAATACTATAGATTACTAGCTGATAAATCCCAGAAAGGTATTTCTCATGGTTCTGGAGGCTGAAAAGCCCAAGATGCAGGAGCCAGCAAACGTAGCGTCTGGTGAAGACCCGTTTCTCATAGACATGGCCTTATCACTGTTTCCTCACCTAGAAAAAGGATGAAGGATTTTTTTGGGGGGTGGGTACTGGGGATTGAACTCTGGACCTTGGATTTGCAA